GGGAACTCTCGGAACGACCGATCGACCGCGACGTTTTGGAACTCCCGGATCGACCGGATCGACAGGTGTTCCCCCCCGTCGACGGACGACGTTGAAGCCATCAGAAGCCAACATAAACCAACTGGACAGTCGCCTGGACCCTCAATGAGCCTGTGACCATGGAGATCATTGGAGATCAGTGGATAGGGAAGTGGAATCTTCCCAGACCCCTTAGGCGGAAGTGGCTAGCATATACATTGTACGTGTGTTACTTCTGGACCGCGCGTCGTCGCTGTGACATTCTCAAGGAGTTGGGGATGCCAAGCTGTGAGTCATGAGATGGAAGTTGTGAACCAGTCAACCTTTACTACTGACTCTCAGTTTGCCAGTGAACAAACACATGCTTATATATAAGTTATATATCATATTATGTCCATGTCCATCTGATTCCATCTGATTCCATATGCAGTCGGGAAACCAATCCCCCCGACATCAAGGTTAAAGGCTAATCCACACACTTCCTGGGTAGGCCTAGATGACCCATCGTCACCTTTGGGGGGGGAAGTACCTCATGTTATGGAGTACCGTGCGGCGGCGTAAACACCCAGAACCCCCAAAGACCCATCAAAAATCACCAAATCTTCGGGCGTCTGATGTTTCCCCTCCAGGCCGCTGTTGTTGCAAGCAAGGCCTTTCTGCTCGCAACACCAGCTCCATTGCATGCTCGTCCACTGCGAGCGATTGCCATCGCAGGCGTAGCTCGGGGAAACGGACACATTCTGCTCCGTCAGGCTGGTTCCTGGAGAACATGGCAGAGGTACACTCAGCCGCGGAAGTCCCGGCGTAGGAACAAACTTGAGTTCCCCAATGGAAACGCGACGCCAGGAGGGGGGGGTCCCATGGCAGAGGTCTGGGTCCCATGGCTGTCGAAATCTGTCGATCTCCAGTGGTACCGAACCTCAGAAGAAGAGATCTATGAAGAAAAGAACATGATAATAGAATTCCCTGGATCCGGTATTGTACATGTCTCAGTGTCGAACACATTACCATGCCTGAGAAGGTGCGACTGGATCTGACTGGGCTAGATGGCCGCCGGAGTCGGTCCGACCATTCGCAACCAGGGGGGGTGGGGGCAAGGCCTGGTTGCATGGATGTTGTCCAATCCTCACATCAAAAACCCATGCACAACCCCATCCTAAGATGCGTTGCGTGGATGACATGGCCCCCGAGTTCGGGTCTGAAACGCATTTCTGAACACCCCACATGCAGGTGGTGGCACACCCAATAGGTGGTGAACACGCTAGGGAGCGCGACCTGAAATGAACTGGGTGTCAGAATGGCAAGGTACCACAAAGAGACCAAGACCATCAACTACTGCTGATTCTAGCAATGCTGATTCTCTGATTGTAGCCATGCGCAATGGTTTGCAACAGGCTTTGGATGGTCTTTATGTTGTCTCGTTTGGACTGCGCTTTTTGGTGCCAAAAAGAATCGGCCGTGAACTCACTCGAGCCCTCTTCGTTGGACCGTCATACTGGTGGCACTGGCTGTGCATCCGCACCCCCCAAAGCATGCGCAGCGTGCTGTCCAAGAAACGGTTGGGCTCGCATCCCAGCTGTTCATGGGTGCAGCACCACTGCTGCTTGGCCTCTGAGAAGGTCTCATCTGTACAATTGAAGCTCCCATTCTTCGAATTCGCGTTACTACTCGCAACGCTGCTTGCATTGCTCGCATTGGCGCCACACGCAATGCCATGATGGATGCAACACCACCTTATGCTGCACGCAGAAGGGACCTCAATCATTCCTGGTTCTTGTCATCCAAAAGCCAGTTTCTGAAGTATCCTATTGTCTGCTTCGGCCATCAAATCCTGAAAACCACCTGGAGACACCCTAAACATTCCACGGAGACCGTTCTTTCATGATCTTTCCACTGAAGCTTCCCCATCCAGATCTTCCAGATCATCGGATCTACACAGCTGGTCAGTCACATCGTCATGGAACAACCAATCCATTGGTCCAATCCTTTCCTCTCACCCGGCGGCACTCCACATATGGAAGACACGCGTATACATACTTCCAGGATCACCTTGACCACGAAAACCCACCCGAAGGCCCGAAGGTAGTCCTTCAGATCAAGGCATCCATCGGGCCCCACGTCGGATACACGTAAGAGGGGTGGATGTTGAACAAACACCTGCAAACACATGCACAAAAACATCGATGTTGATTCTCTCCAGCCATGTTGAACACTCACACACACCATCCCTTTGTTCGCGCCCCAGTGCTGAATTGCATCCGGCTATACCTTGACCCAAATCACCCAAGGTTCGCATGGCGTGGCTCTGACCCAGGCTCTGAGTCATTCCAAGCGGCGACGCGAGGGTCTCGTTGGAGTCCACTCCTTGACACGGCGCCTGCGCCTGCGAACCATTGGCCTCCACCTCTGCCACCTGCGCCTGCGACGTACAACGGACGAGCCGGCCACGAGTTAACTCACGTCGGGAAGGGAACTTGAGGCCGTGTGGTTCCAAGGGGAGATTTGAAAGAAACAACAAGGATCCAAAGAAAGGCTTGGTGGATGAACGCTCCTTACCAGGGGAGCCGGTAGCATGCCAAGTCGTGGGTGTTCAACAGCACGCTAGCCCGGCCGCCCTGTTCCCGGACGGGGCGCGGAGCTGCGTGCAGGCTGTGTGCTGTGGTCTTAAAGCACCCTCCAACTCACGAGTTCCTGAAAAAAAGATCCCTCATCAGTCCAGCCGTCCAGCCTATGCCATTCTGCAGTCACCTTCCCTGGTTCAAAGGAACCTCTGACATACTCTGACTCCCAAGGCATTATTCTTCGTCAACCTTTCTCCATCTGTTTCTGCTTAGTGGGAGATCAACTCCTGTAGGGGTCAAAGGCTACCCACTGACTGGGCAATGGTTTTCAGGTGTCTCCCATGTTTCTTCGAATGTGAGTCTGCAACCCTATCGAAGAACCAAAGGAGAGAAAAAACACTGTAGAATGACCGTCTTGCTAGGCTTGCTCCCAACAGGCCGTTCAACGTTCTTTGGCTCAGGCGATCTCCATCTCAGCACTGCTGAAGAACTGAAGAACGGCCCTCGCAAGGCACGTCTCTGGCCGATGTTTAACGTATATAAATGCATCCCCCAACACAGCGCCGCGCGTACCTCGCCCAGTCTGGCCAGCGCTAGGATCAGGAGGACTCGCCGAGCCATCCGGGCGCGCGGCACACGCACAGCGCACGCAACGCGCTGAAGCCCGCGAAGATGTTCCAAGTGTTCCTCCGTCCCACTGTCCCCTGACCCAATGCATGAGGTCTTTGGTGAAGAATTACAGTCAAATTCGACCCTCTCGTGTCACCTGCCACTGGGCCCAGCAAAGGACGTCTTGGCCCCACTTTGTTAGCTAGAGGAATCAAAACGGTTTCAAGGTTGGGCTTTGAGCCATTTGTATCCCCCCCAAGGCCCCAAGTCACACTAATTATATACAGTATATATATATATAGGAGTGCTGTCATTGACATGGATTGAATGTTTAGATGCAAACTCTCAGCTGCCCAGTGAGGCAAAAGCGGACCCGGCAGTTCCAGGTAGTTCTCTGATCGAGGATGTCCAATTGAAACTGCTTAGGGACGGGACTGTGTTTCTTTTATTCTGGCGTCAAGTAGTGGCTCGCTCAGCATTTATTGAGTGGACTTGTCAGAACCAAAGTTGAAGCGATGCAGTGCAAATCTTCAGTGGGTACACACTCAAGCCTCTGACTTGTGTTTCTCTGGATCTACTTTTGAGCTTCCTTAGCAGGGCTTATACCAAGCTCATACAGGCTTCTGGATGAACTTGTGTCTTGAGCCAGTTAAAGCAGCCAAACAGTTTGCACTGCAGGACTGTTAGGGCAGGACTGTAGGCCACCGAGACAACTAGGGACTGGGGCCTCAACCAATGAGAAAGGAACATCGATCATGGGTCCCAGAAGCTTCATTGTCCTCTACAGGTTGTCCAAGATGGTCGAGTTCAAGCTTCATATATGCTATGTATCTAAAGCCTGTTGGGATCTCTAGCACCTCTCGCTCAATCATTCTTCATGCTCGACCATCACGGGTGACCAAGGAGATGGTGTCAGTCAAGCTTCGGGACACGAGGACACGATCCCGGTCCTCCATATCGTCATTTCCTGTGGCATATTGTTTAGTCCATTCTAGGGCCCAGTGGATGATGATGATGATGATGATGATGATGAGTAAAGACCTTTCTGGAAAAAAATAGTCTAGTGTTCTGCCGACTGTTGCTGGTAATGGGACACCCCCTACATATCATGTCCTTTGTACTTATACAAAGTTGTTTTTGCTTGGGAAAGTTTGATCGTTTGCACAGGTACTGAGAAGTCTCTCCTGTGCAGATCATGAACAATCACTGCAGTACCAAGTTCACAGAAAACATCGCAAATATATACTATGGTTTCAGTGGTTTCAGGACCCAATAATGTGTTCTGCTTAGCTTGAATCCCCATCTGAAGTTGAGAGTGAAACATTGTGAAACATCTAGTTTTCAATGTTGTCCCTTGGGGATATATAATAAACAAGTCGGTTTGGTACCATATAATACCTATTGGTTGTACACAACCGGGGGTATCCCCTATATTTACCTCAAAATATCGGTTATGCTTCTTCCAACTCCCCACACTCTCCAACTCCCCACACTCCAAATCCTCCTCCCAACCCCCCCCAATGCAACCTGGACCGTTTCATTTATACATGTGGGATCCTGTGGGTGTTTTTACTAGGGAGAACCCCCCCAACCAATCAACCAATGGGCAAGTCCATTTCTCGAACCAAACCCAGCGGGGGAACGCCGTGTGGGTCACAAATCACACACACACCCATACCCAAACACTCCATGTACCTGTATGGAATATATGCATACATTCACCCCCCCCAACCACCTCAATGGGGCGGCAGTCCTATGGCAGTCCCAAACAGGTCGTGTCTGGGAAATGCTTTGGCACCCACCACGACCGGCCTAAGTCGCTGCTCCGGCTCGCATTGGACGTTGCTGTACTCCTGGGGCTGCTTCTCCATAGGGGGTTGGCTCAGGCGACTCAGCGAAGACTGGACCAGGAGACACAGGAAGATCCATCAAGAAAACCTGTTCACTGCGGTCCATGCAAACTGTGCAATGGACGTTGAGTGTTTTGAAATGTGTTTGCTGTGGGATGTTGCATCCGCGTCTCAGGCTTGCGGGTCAGAAACTCACCAAGCCACCATGTTCTCCTCAAAAAGGACCTGTTCTGTGTCACAGTCTTTCAACCCAACAGTATCCAATGGAGTCGCTTTTCCTGGCACATAAAGGCTCACCACTAGGCTCATCCTTTTTCCACCAAGAATGGCCAAACAACTGTGAGATATTGTGCTTCTTCTTCTTCTTCGCATATGTACGTTCCCACATCAGAATTTGCCTGGTCGGTCAGTCTGCCATCCGAGCCATTTCAGAAAAGGAAGATGTTTGGATGCGTTTCCAGCTTGATTCAAGGTGGTTTGATCGGTGATCAAATCGCCAGTTCAAGTCCAAGAGAGGTTTCCAGACCCCAAAGAAACAAACACACACTCCATGGGACTGCCGTATTGAAGTACATTGGTGTGGTTGACCAGTAGTCAGTTTGGTGTGGCATCCAGTCCCCAGTCCAGGTGCATCTCTAGGAGTCCGGCCCGTGCAGCACCCGAAACAGCGACACTTTTCGGGGCTCACCAGCGGTGCTAGCACTTCACCCGCGGTGGTGTCTTCCTGGGCCACGGTCGTCACCGAGCCGATAGTGTTGGGGTAAAGAGGCCACTTAGACACTCCGTGTATGGCAGCCCACGAATTGAATCATGCGAAGAAAACAGTTCGGAACGAGTTAACAGGAGTTGTCAAGAACGGAGCGTTCTGAACGTGCAACTCATGAACATGTATGAACATATGGCATATGGGTAAAACCCCCAAACCCTGGTTGACCCGTGTTTATTTTGGACAGATTCGTCTGTGGGGGATGTGAACCTCCCATGGTTTGTAAGGTGAGGTTTTGATCCACAGCCATATTGCACCTTTGACTTCAGGTGCCTGAGGTCCTCAGGCACCTTGACCTTCACTGCGTACTTCGGCTCAACCACACCCGCACTGGACGCACCAACGGTCTCCAAGAACCCTAGAGGTCGGTAGGACCTCAATTTCGGACAACACGTGGGTCCGCAGCTACACCCGCTGAAAGCTTCATCGGAAATGGATGGAGAGAGCCATGAAGATGGACCATGAATGCCAAACAGGTGGCTTTCAATGGTTTTCACTCCACTTCCATGATAATCCCACAGAATGGCTCGGTCCTTGTTCCCCAAAGGCGTAAGGATGAGGATGAGGACGATCTTGACTTCCCCACCAAGACTTCGACAAGCATCGTCTCCCAAGACGTGCATGCACAGGAGTTCCAGTTCCACATTTGAGAGGCTGTACCCCCAGAACTCACCAAGAAGTCATATCCAAAGACTGACTGGTGCTTAGTAGGGAATAAGGGAAGTTTCGCCCCCAATAGAGATTCTATTGGATCCAGCCACCTCATTCCCTGCGAGTCGCACCAGTCAGCCAGAACTCACCAGAACTGGACCAACTCTCGAAGACTCATTTTTCGTGTCGCGTCAGCAGGAAGACGCATCCGAGCCGCTTCATGGACACCGCCCTGGCGCTCCTGAGCGGCATCAGCATGGTCAGTCTTTCCGCCTGGAGATCCAGTTGTGCCTTCTCAGGTTCGGTACGACTGGACACTCCAAAACGACATTCCCTCCCACAAACTAACATGGAACCCGAGACTCTCCGAGACTGGACCGGCTTCCAGAGCATGTCCTTTAAGCCAGTCATTTGGGTATCTAGGTTCACCTGCAGGGGAGTAACAGTTTTCACGTCTAACCGTCTAACACTGCACCTTCTGAGGTACGAAAACGATCGAACAACGGATCCCCAGGGCTCCCCGGAACCGGGCCAAAGACAGGGAGCTTCACCCAACAGATCTTACCCGGTGGCATCCAGTTATATACCACTATAGCTATATAGCTGGCAACCAGTGGTTCCAAAGACTAAAACATACTAAAACCATAGACCTAGAATCCCTGGTTACTGGTTCCTTATATACTAGTTTTTGGTAACTGGGATCCACTGGGTTATTAAAGAGTCTACCTTCTGGGAAGTTGAAGATGGCAGAAGAACATTAGAATGGACAAATCCCGGACTCAGTGGCAGGTGGGGGGATCCTCCACCGACGCGTGGCCTCCCGACGCGTTGAAACACCCTCTCCTCTATCATCGCCACCGTCCCCTGGTGCTCAGCACGGCCGGGGGGGCGAGGACTCGCTCTGACTCGGTGGGAGGCAGCTTAGCGGTTTTGAAGATGGAGGGGCAAGCTGAGGCAGCTTGACTTCTGCAAACGTGGATCCTTGACTGCACCGAGGCCACCGGGGTTTGTCACCCAAAGACCCTCAAAGGGTCGCTCCGGAGACCTGAGCACTAGCTGGATTCATGTGCCTTCCACAAAAAAAACACTTCAGCAGCTTCTGGTGATCCTTCTGTTTGTGGACGCATCGGGCATCAACTCTGTACCCAAGTTCCAGGGTATTGACCAACACATTCCATCTTGCACGGCATGTAACACTGCTGGCACAGCCTTCCAAGTTCTTAAGACCCTGAGAAGCTTTGATCCAAAAGCATCCAAAAGCTACCATGAAATCAATCAATCAATCAGCAATTCACCTTAAGATAGTAAGGTGGACTTGCATGTCGTCCAAACTGTTCTCAGTTGAGCTTTTCTTGGATGGCACCTGCTCATGGACCCGAGACTCTTACCAAACGCCCATCGAATTCGATGGCAAGACCAAGTTAACCGAACTGTTCGCTTGTTCTTGTGTAGTGGGGAGACCAATTATACCAATTATTCCCCAAAAAGGGCAAGCGATCCACTTTCCCTGCGGACGCCAGGTCCGCCAGGTGCACTCTGTGTACGGTGCTTTCCACCAACTGCCACGGTCCGCAGGTGACCGGCGTCGTCTCGCATGAAGAACGAAACCCCCCTATACCATCCATGTGACATGGGGGGCCATACAATGTCTCACAACAACCCGCCTTCTCGGCATGGTGAGGTATCTTGTGAATCCACCCGGCACGACGCTGGCTGAGCGGCTCAGGCACCCGGAATTCCCTTCTTGAGGCCCTATATAGGCGGCCCTCTAACCTAGACCGACTGTGGGTCCCGCTGTCCGCTACGTCGCTGCGGTGTCAGCTGCCCGCCTCATTCCGCGGATGCGGATGCTGCGGATGCATCGGTCATTGACCGAGCAAGGCTTGGACCAGAACCCAGATCGGGCGGGCTTGGTCAATGCCCAAACACTTCATGTACGGCATATATCAACCAGGACCCTCCAACAAGTCACCACCTGCAACTTTTAAGTCTACAAAAGCCTCCAAACGAGACCTTTTGGACTGTGCTGGAATATGCCTGTACATTGACCAATGAAGCACTCCAATGTAGGCAAATACATGTATAGTGTTTGGGATGCGTAGCACGCCGAATCGAAGACAAAGATCGGGCTTGGACTGCATTATTTCACCCCTTTCATCCCTCCCGAGGCAAATATCTTCCATTCGTTCATGGGTTTTAGTGGGTTTTCCCAAGTCCCACCCCAAAAGGTTCTCCCAAGTCCCAACCCAAAAAAGTTGGCAAGGTGATCTACTCTTCCATTAGGCCCTAGGCTAGGTATGGTCATTCTCTCAGACGTGAGACTTCCATTCTATTCGTATGAGGATCTTCTCTTGTCTTTTGATTCGGCTGTCCAAGAAAATCACCATAATCTATAGGGCTCAATGACACCACATATAAATATAATATATGATACTGATACCATCGAATATGAACTGTTCCAACAACCCGCAGTTCGACTCCCAGGGGCCCACTCTTCGTTCACGGTTAGATGGCTAGTGCTGCCTTTTTTTCATGATTTCCTATCACCCACGTTGGTCATCGTATAAAGCGCCATCAGTGGACTGAAAACCACACCAAAGGTGTTTCAGAACACTAGTTCGACTACCCCAGGCCCAACCCGGGATCATTTTTCAGGTAACTGGATACCTCTCTTGGCGCAGGATTTCCTCCCAGCCACTACCCAGCCGCCTCCTCGATCCCCTCCTCAGGCACCTGAGATCCGAATCCGTTCGTTACAGCAGGCGCGGGCGCGCGCCGCGCGCCGGATGCCTGGAAAGTTCAGATCCTCACGTTCCCATGGCGCCGGAGCACCCACTCAAGCGAGGTCATCCAAGGCACCCCGGAATTGGGTCGTTTTCTGCGGTCTTAAGGTCGAACATTTGCCAACGGGAAGGGTGCCAAGATGTGCCAAAGGTGGGGTTGGATGACCCCTGCCGAAACCAGGATTGTCAACCCGGTTCTTCACTTGATCTTTACAAAACACCTATAGCGGTCCCACCATTCTATGGTGGAGAGGTCATCAACCGCAACTGTCGAGGTGTTCCATGTCTTCGTAATTCGATCGCCGCCACTTCCTCGGAAACGACGACTCCCAACTGGAGGCCCAACTGGTGGGATCTGGAGGCCTCGCACAGGAGCAGAGAGATGGCTGCTGGCCCACGCGAGACTATTTTGGAATCTGTTTTGGCATCAGTGAAGAAAAGGTGCTGCCGGAAATCAGTGACCTTAAAGAGCACCCTCTCGATTGTAGTCCTTGACGTCTTTGACTCCCAGGCTAAAGAGAAACAGCACCCTCCAAGGGATACACATGGACCAGTTGGATGTTCGGGTTCTTCAAACTTCCGTAACACGCGTGTTGGTAAAAATCACATGGTCTGGGGGATATGCACGGATTCGAAAGCTACAGAAGAGTCACCTGACGCGGCACAAAATGTTTACTTCGAATAAATATATAGGTTTATTCACTGACTGAAACTGAACACCCTCCGAAGAAGTTGCCGGACATCAATCTCGACTGTGGACTAGTTCATGAACTTGATAGGGGGAGATGTTACTTGCAAAAACTGTATAAGCTAGCAAAGGGGTGGAGAACTCCCTGTAGCTCCGAACGGTTCCGTGGTTAGGGAACATTCAGATCAGTAGTCAAACGGTCAGCTCCCTTCTTTTCCTCAATTCCGCGCAGGGAGCTGATATGCCTTAGCTCTGTCGGGCATCAGAAGCACTCTTCCAATTTTCGTTGGTAAGTACACCGGGCCACTAGGAGGTGAACTCCATACACCGGCAGTGGAGAGAACTTTCAATTACCAATGCACTACACCCCAACGTACTAGAAGCATGCAAGGGCACGAAAGAGCAATTTTAAGGGCAAGGACCACAGAATGACAGGCACTGTGCTGACATGGACCGAGAAGTTGTGGCGACGCCACTATGAGTCGCGAAGACCATCGTGCGAGATGCCATCACTCCAGTTAGTAAACTGGGGACCCATTCGAAGTATGCGATGCATTCCAAGTGGATCAAAAGGCTGTGTGCGCTTCTCCCGCTGGTGGGGACACTTGCTGCGCTGCCACTCAGCGCAAAGGCGGGTGCCGTCTCTCAGGGTCAGCAAAATGAGCAGCGCCACCAGAACCACGCCCTGTGCCTTGCCCAGTGTCCGCACCGGGGCCAGGAGCTGCCTAGGAATACTCTCGCCAAGATAGTTTAACTGTACAAAACGCTGGTTTTCGGAGTCTGAGGTACAGTTTGCAAATGGTCTTGATGAAAATGCAACTTATGCCTGGATGTTTTTTGCATCCGGGTGTTGAATCTGGGAAGGGAAGATCCAACACCTCGATGGCCAAGGCCGCCAACGCCGTGTTGCACGTTTGACATAAAGGCTTCTCTGCTAGCGAGCTCCACAGCATGGCGGCGCAGCGCTGCCAGTGCAGGCTCAAGTGGTTTGCCAAATGCAGCTTGATTGAAGTACTCTTGAAGCATGTTCGCCTCCTCTCGTAGGTAGCAGCGACAACAGTCCCCACCTCTTCAAAAGTGTAGGGCACGTCAACGTCGAACGTGTCCACCACCAGCTCTGCAATACCAGCGGGAGGGGCAACGGATCGCGAATCACAAGCGCGCCGTCACTTGAGAAGTCAAATTGATGGGTGTAGAATGTCACCCAATCCAAACAAACCTTTCAATCATTGGTGCGAACGAATCTGCCCATGTTTACTTTCGAGTCAACGACAGCATCGAGTGGGAGGGGCCTCGTCTTGCTGGACTTGGAGAGGTCTGCGATTATGACGATCGATTCAGGCCAGTGAGTGAATGTGCTCCAGTGTAGGCAGGATTCCCATCTGAATAAGGATTGCACCGCCGCCTCAAAAAAATTTCCGGCGATCGCATGCTCTGCGAATGAAATCTCTTTGTTGCCGTAAACATTCTGTGTGAGTGCGCTCATGTCTCTCGTGCATTGCTCCCGGCATCAGGGCGCCCCAGCATTGCAGGCCATGCTCCGCGGCGGGCATAGGATCTGACACGCTCCGCTGAACGTGTAGTAAAATTGCTTGAAGCCTTGACTGCACTGTCTAACTTGCTGCGATGACGGCACATCGTAAACTTCACCTTTGCAGAATATATTTGAATTCACCATCAAACACAGAGGTGAGCCAGTGAGTTTGATATTCTTATTCAGGTGCCTTGTCATGTGCCAGGCTAGCCAATCACCACCCGATAAGTGCAAACTTGCTACACTTATGCTGAAACCTCATGGTTGGTGGCTTGATGTGGTTTCAACTTACTTAAGAATATGAGTCAGTGACGTTCAACCATCCCAAGTTTAATTATTCCAAGTAAAGGGTGAACATACCCTGGGCCCTAGGGCTCCTGAGAAAATTGTTGAGGTGGGAGTCAGGGGGGGGGTCTAACCACCTCACCAAAGGATATGTTCATGGTTGGAGCCCTAAAACCCACCCCAAGCCATTACACACCTGAGAAGGAGCTCCAAAAGGGTGGATCTTGGTGTGCATTAGCCCTGTAAGATCTAATTGCAGCAATACCAGGCTAGAGCGCTCAAAGACCTGAGCCCTTCAAAATGCCGTGAGGGACGGAATGGCGAGAAAGTCCGCTGAAGGGTAATTATTGTTTAAATCATCGATATGGGCCTTAAAAAATGCTGCAGGTATGTGACCTTGGCGTCCCAAAGTCATATCACAACACAAGGAAGACCTTGCAATGCCTTCCAAAGTGTTCATTGCCATTCAAATACCCCGAGACCAGGACTCAGGAGAGAGATCCCCCTCCTTGTACTGTACAACATGTGCAATGCAGTAGTAAAGGTCGTAAAGGTATATAGAGTCCCTATAAGAACGGTTGGCACACACAAACACACCGAGTCGTGTCGGTGCAGCGAAGAAAAATCTGTGACATCAAGAAACACCTGAATAGCAACCTAACAAGCCTTTAGAAAAGAGAGACAGAGAGAGAGAGAGAGAGAGAGAGAAAAAAAAAGCAAAAGGAAAGCAAAAGAAAAGAAGGACAAAGTCAACGTGCTCTAGGTGATTATGCGCAATACTGAATCGATACTTGCAACATCTTGCAACAAACCAGCACTGCAGCCTAACAAGCCTCTAGGACTCTGCAACAGAGAAGAGAAACGCATCTGGAAGGAAGAAAAATGAATTGGTGTATTCCGAGCAGCGGTGCCAAATGAAGGGCAAATTGATGATTAATCGAAGCCGCCCCGTGTCAGTGTGTTGGAAACACACAATGAAGCCGAATCCGGCGCAACCTGGATTACACCTAACAAACCTCCAGGAAGGGAGAAAAACGCAACTGCCAGCAAAAAATATTACTGTATTCCGAGCAGAAAACACAGAATTACAGCCTAGCAAGCCTCTAGGAAAGGAGAAAAAGCAGAGCGAGAAACGAAGCAGAAAGGTCAAAAAAATGACTTGACGCATTCCGAGCAGCAGTGCCGAATGAGCGGCAAACTAATCAAGAGGCACCCTGTCTCAGTGCGCGGGGAACGCACAAAGAAGCCGAATCCGACGCAACCTGGACTACACCTAACACGACTCTATGGAGAAAAACAGAGAAGACAAACGCAACAGGAAGAAAGAAACATTACTACGAGGTATGTGGCATATGGCAAATTAAAGGTAAATTGAAACCGACGTTAAAAGTTGGCTATAGTGATTTTCTCGTGTGAAACTGATTCAGTGGTAGAAAAGGAGGCCCTGCGGCATTGCACGGAGCAGAACCGCTGCGCTGGCTGGTGTTATGGGCGTAACACATCAAATGCATCTGCTGCGTCACAAATCCACTGCTCACTCACAGCCGCGGCATGTCTGGAGCACAAGCCAAACATGCTGCCTCGTCGTAGGTAAACAGTGGCGGGACAGGAATGGGATGGTCAGTGGGCGATGATTGTGTTTTGGAGCCACTGCCGCGACAAGCGTTCGCGTCAGCAATACCGTAATACCTTGTGAACAGCAGCCTCACGTGCTTGGCGACCTGAAAGTTCTGCGTCCTGTGGCGCGAGCCTTCAAACTCAGCAACAAAAAAGGCATCCCATGTAGACCCACGCCTGGTCTGCACTGCCTTGAGCTTCAAGAAGTCGTGCAGGGAGGCACATTCAGCTCGAGCCACAGATCGTGAGTCTGGCAAACTTCCACGACTTGAAGTACCCACCCAAAAAGCTGTTCCTCCAAAAGTGTTGCTTCCAGCTTGTAATGCACGAGGACAACAACAGACTTGAGTTGAGAACTGGAGCATTCGGCGTCAAGCATAGCACCAACCTGACAGCAGGGTGGGGCACTGCCCTGTCACTCACGGGCGTACGGAAACAACTTCTGCCAATTGTCGTACCTCTGGTAGTCACTGACGCCAACATCGACATGCACAGATTCATTTAGGCCACTGGAGGGGAAGCTGAGAAGGTGGCGGTGGATCCTGAGGGTTCCAAAAAGGGACATTACCAAAAACAGGTCCGGGGGGGATTAATAATCCAACCAAAACACGTGCAGAGATGAATCGGGGGGGATTTCTAGTTTGCATTGAACATGTACAAAGAAGCCGTGGTGAGGGGTGCCCAAATAGAAGCCGCCCTATAATCCCTAGGGCTCCTGGCCCACCTCCGTTTCGAAAATGGCTGGGGTGGGTGCCAGGGGGGTCTAACCACCGAACCTGAGGATATGGGACAGGAGCCCTAGGGGGACAGGGGGTTCTGGTACAAATTCTCTGATCCACTTCCAGGTCCATCAGCGCCACGAAATCAGTCTCCCGTGCCTCCACCGGCCGGTGCCTCGGGTCGAAGAGAAGGTTCCCGAAAAAGCCTCCAGGGAAGACCTTTTGGAAGAATGCATGGGTCCGCCAGGTTGAAGAACCCTATAGAACTATCCACTTAACCTCTGTTGGTGGATATAGTTTCAACTCCGTAGTAAAGCCATCAAATCAATGGCTCAAGCAGGGTCGGAGAACAAAACTCAGTTTTTGGCGATGAACAGGCTAACATTTACAATATGGCAGCTTTGTTACCCTAACAGTTACCAGCAGCAGCAACAACAACAACAACCACCACAACAACAACGATACTCACTGATTCCCCGCGATTCCCCGAGTACCGTCATCGCTCTCGGCATCCCAGCTGGCTCAGCTTCCGACCTCAATGGAGGACGGAGAGGAGTGGAGCCGAACGACTCCGTCGGAGGTGGTCGGTGATTTGCTCCAGCAGGGCGCTCCTCCCTCTCGTACGATGTTGTTGGTGTATTCGACTCCTTTTCTTTGTGAATGTTGGTATATATGATTTGATGGTTTTGTTGTTTAACCTCCAGCATTAAACATCATAAGGTGCATATAATTACTGATCTCTTCCGTTTCAACATGAAGGCCATGAACTATCAACGCGCGCGCGTTAAGCGGCGTGTCTCAGCTCCAAGCTGCAAAGCCACCTGAGCTCTTGGCGGCGTGCTCTGACGAGGTTCAGAATCAGCTGTTCCCAATCCCCGCCCAACACAAGGGGTACGTAGGTAGTAGGATGTGGGCCTATCCGTGACTGACAACAACCAGACGGATAACATGTTGGCATCAACACAATCGGTCGCGCTTCGCGTGGCTTTGAACCAGCTTGCAGCATTGACATCTAAATCTGAACAACTTGAATCTAAATCTGACAATGTAAACACCAAACCTACTACCAAACCTGCACATGTAAACCCTCCAACATGATGCAACACCTCTCGTCCAGACCTGTCCTTCACACCCCCTCTCACCCCTTACTGCGATCCCCACATATGCGGCTTTGCGTGAAGCTCCGCAACCCATCCTGGACGAGGAGACACCATGAACCCGGTGAGCCAAGAACCAGCATCCCCATGCTACGTAGTAGCATCCCCAGGGTCCCGTGTGGGTCCTAGGGATCCAAGTACCTTCTCAGGTGATTGGAGACACTCAGACATGTAGGTGCCAGGAGGGTCCAGTCGCACCTTCTGAGGAGGTACGGAAGGAGCCCTATAGGGTATATCAGGTCACTGGCTACATATCTGGGGAGTTGTTGGAGAGAAGACGCGAAAGAAAGGGAAGGCTTTGTTCAGCCAGCATCTCCCTGATCGTGTCGAACACAAACAGATTACTGAGTACTGTTATGAGATTTTCACACCAGTGAGATTGGTGCCATGCCGCCATGCCCCTGTGAACTTGTCCAAATTGAATGTGGCCTTTCCCAACAGCGATCAAACTCCTGAATTGTATCCGGGATCCTTACTTTCTGAGTGGCTTTGGAGGGACCAAAAACAGCTTTCTCAGGACATCTGTCGTTGGATCCATTGGCTACTGCGTGTCGCTTCTGCCCACGACCCACGAACTTCTTGCGCAGTTGAGTTAGGCTCAACGCTCCAGGCCTCTGATTGCACTGAGGCCCAACGAGGTGACGTCCAAACACTTCACGTCCTCCACTTCATCGAATCTTTTAAGTTCAATCTTGCCATTTTGAGGGAACATCGCTTCAGGTTCAACCAGACCTTGCCCATTTTTTCAAGCATAGGAGGCGTCTCCAGGGTGCTGGGTCCGCTAATTTGGACTCTTTCAATGTCTTCCCTCCCAGCCACGGGTGGGGCAAACCGCATGAGTGACTTGAGACGCGCCCCATGTCATGCAGACTCTTGATGACACCAAAATCACCAAACATGGATTGTAAAACCAATTCAAATGATTTCATAATGGAGGGATTTAGTTTTGGTCATCAGTCTACCTGAAACGCGTCCCCTCACTGACCTGCCAGCAGGACATGCAGGACATAACCTCCCCCCCTTTTGGCCTCTATGATTTCGATGCTGACCTTCGGTGATCCAAAGGCGGCTGAACGCGCCATGGCGCAAACGCCCCCTGCTATTCAGGTGCGCCTGAACGCGCCGGCATGTGCCTTCGCGTTTTGGAGCGACCCGACTGATAGTTTTGCCACTGATTGAGTGTCTGAGAAGGACACGCTACGCCGTACGCGTGTCATGGTTTATTGTTGTACGTTGATGTGCCGATGTTGATGATGTGGGTGTTTTCCATTCAATCTTGAACTGCACCGAGAAAGACTGCTCAACGTGATGCTCACAATCCGGCGAGTCGCCCGATCATCTAACCGCTGGTGAAGGGTGAATGCAATATACCAAATCATGCGACGCACGTAAACATGGAACGTGAGTAACATGCGAGTATAAAACGATACTATAGGCAGAACCCTTTCGATATCTGAGGATGCTTCTTCCATCTATCTTCACTTCGAGGCCTTCCGGTTGGTCAGGGTGAAACATGCCATTCCCAGGCGCGTGGCCTTTTCCCACGCGTCTTGGCGGTGGAGGCGGCAAGGACTCAAATCATGCAGGATTCTTCATCGACACATTCTCAGGGTTGCTACTGCTTGTTCATTTTGAGCTGGACACATTCTGGACTCCGGACCCTCCAAAATACCTCGAAAATGGGACAGGACCCGTTTTTCCATGACCCTTATCAAGAACATTATAGGCACTTGCTCCCATTCGTCCAAGGTACTTTGAGACTGCTGCCTGGTGACACTCCGTCCCCAGTTCTGGATCCCCCCCGATCAGACCGGGTCTCCAGTCCGGCACCGGTGGTCGCGTAGAGGGACCCAAAGGAGTCCAACCGGTTCGAAGGGTCCAACTCCGGTCGACCACGGCGACACGGCGACACGGCGAGGGTCTGACTCAATCCAATCGGAGCTATATATGCTAGAAGGATCCTTTCGGCCAAATCGGACGGAGGCGGAAGATCCTTTTGGTCCCAGGTGCTTCGAGGTACATATTCCAAGAGAGGTTGAGAGACCAGAACTAGGACGCTGGTCTGTGGTACATATGGGATGGGCTACAAAGGGCTGTTCAACCTCTCTAGGTTGGCTTTTCACCTGGTGACCCGGACTTCGATCGATCGATCGAACACAGGAGAAGCCGGCGATCGTCTTCAGGTTCAGGAACGCTCTCCTGGCGTTTTCCCGACCCAATTCTCAACGTCGGTGGCAGAAATTCCCAGGGCCTCCAGCAGCTTCAGTGCAGCCAGAGCCTCCTCCCCTGGTGCCAGGTCCTCTTAGCAGCCCTAAGATAGTACCAGATGTCTTGCGGTGGTGTGCTTTTACGAAGCGGATCTTGCATACCTCCGGCCAAAACGCGCCGCAGAATCAGAAGCCTCCTTTTTTTACGTCCTACATTGCACTTCCTCAGCATTTCGTCTACCCTCACCCTCTCATCGCCATGTAGCGCGCACCGCGCGGTCTGAGTGGGCATGGCCAAACTCAGTGGAGAGTCGCGCGCCTTGGCAGCAAGCAGGCGGGCGCACATCGTATTGTATACAAATTAAATATCCCTAGGGCTCCAACCATATCCTCAGAAGATGGTTAGACCCCCCAAACCCACCCCAACCATTTTCTTAGGAGGTGGTTGGAGCCCTAGGGTATACTCCAAAGAGTCACTTCAATGTTGCATCATGTTGCATCATGTTGCATCCAACCTCATCAATTTCCGGTCCTTGCCAGTTCCAAAGGAGAATGCTTTTTGGATGTTTTTCGTCCCCTCCCAGTAAGAATGGTTCTGAAAGCTTTCCCCACCAGTCCACTCTCGCTACCCAACTACGAGCTCCGCACTTCTGCCCTGCCACCAAGCCACACGCGCCACGCGCCACGGCCACCATGGCTCACCCCTCAGCGCCCGCGTCCGCGCCGTCGTCGCCAGCGTCCGGGCCGTCGTCGCCGGCGTCCTCCGCGTCGGCGGCCTCCACGTCATCGGAGCGGAGCCAAATGATCCTGAGAGAAGGGGGGCTGAGGCAGTGGAGAGAAGGCTGAGGAGAGAGAGAGAGAGAGACATGAGTGATGGCTTCTTGTTCCTTTTTCTCTATCATGAGAGAGAGAGAGAGATCCGTGTCTTTGAGTTTTTTCCAACTTCGATTTGGAATGAGCTCCTCGGATTGCATCAGACTCCTATAGAAGCAGGATATGATATCTTATGAAATCGGGCTAAACTAAGAACTTCTGCAGTTGACGATGCTCTGAAGAAACTGGGTTTCATGGAACCAGCTCCCAATCCTTTCGTAGCAATCTCCGCTGACTCTCTTCAAAAGGTTCATTCGTGGCGTGAGCATCTGCCGATGGGCCGGGCTGTTCTGGTGTCTAAATGAGGGAGACCAACTGCATCACAATTCATGTTTACAATGGCCCATGGTCTGAGAAGCTTGGATTTGCTGAAAAATGGTCCCCTTAAGGGGATTTAACTTTAACCATAGAAAAACAAAAAAAACATCACCTGATCAGCAAAACCAGGGAAGTAGTTTGGTGATGTCTTCCAAAAAAGAAGAACTCGGGAAGTGGGCCATTGATGCCGCCACGTCTGAACCAAGCTGGAGCTGAGCGAAATGATGGATTCCACTCTAATTCTATATCTCTTAATCCTTTAACTTTAATCACTCATTAACTTCAACTAATTACCAGGGTCAACCAACCAACCAACCAACCAACCCAACCCACAAAACCCCGATTTGTATCCCTTCGCTTTCCGTGACCAACCTGCCTCCCGACGTCCCATTCTGCCCGGGCATCTGCTTCGTGGGTGGCGAGCCGGGTCCCGGATTCCACTCCACTCGCTCCACCTGGAGACCCGCCGTTTCGGCGCTCAAGGTCCGGCGAGAGAGAGCGCACAGCCCGGATGCAGCGAGATTGACCATGGAACATGCCGGATGTGCTTGGGCGCTTCCACCCTTGAGCATACTAGGACCCTGGGACAGGTCACCACTTGAGACCTGGCGTGGGCCCAGCTTTGTTGGAGGATACTGGTCTAGGATCTTCAAAAGCATTGCAAAACATATTGTTCCATCGCTGCGGGGTGTCGGACAGTCCCCCAAATGTCCTCATGCTTGACCCTTTCTTCTCCGAACAACACCACGCGTGGAAACCTCCACCATGGAAACCTCGGGAAATGCCAGCTTCCAACGAATCTGGATCACCCATAGATCATCCCCAAAAATGGATCAAAATGGCGCAAGAAGGAGAGACAAGACCGGACGGTGCGTGGTGCGTGCCGGGCACCTCTTCTCCTAGCGCAGGAAGGGCGTTGAAGTTCAGGTTATGCCAAAATCTCCTCAACCGAGCGAGCGCGGGCGCAGTCGCAGTCGCACCTCGATCTGCGCGGATGTTCCGGCGGTTCTTAACTCCCATGAACCACCCGTGTTCGGTGGCCGGTTCTATTCACGGTGGGCACGAACTCCTGGAAAATGTTTAAGCCACTTGCTCTTCCAAAATCGATGGTTTTGGAAAAATCCGATATGGGCTTAAGCGGCTTAAACATGCATTAAACCCATGAAACCCTTCTTCCACCTCGGTTCAGTGTCCCCAAGTGGTCCCAAAGGTCGCTTTGTCATGCAGCATGCTTCACCACGGACGTTCCTGGGTAGGAACATCCCCAAACACCACACCGCGGTGTCCGATCTCGAAAACCCCAACAGGACGTGATGGGACTGGCATGGGGCCGCCGACATCCCCAGAGATGTCGGATAGAAACACATGGGAATTGAACAGTCACAAGTGCCCCTAGGGCTCCAGTCATGCCTTCTAAGAAGGTGTTTGAGGTGGGTGCCAGGAGGGTCCAGTCATACCATCTGAGGAGGTACGACTGGAGCTTTAGGGTGCTTTGTGGTGCTTTCAACACATTCCTCTTTTCTATGTTCTTGTTGGCTCTAGGCTTCACTCTTATAGCTCCTCCAGCCGCTTCGGCAGCTCCAGCAGCTCGACACCCCGGATCCCCAGTTCCTCCCGGCGGATCCGCGCTTGCGCTTCGGCCACGGCGCTTGGCATCCCAACAGAGCTCCCCGCCATAGACGCTCAAACGGTTCCGGAAGGTGCGCGGCGCCCCTGGCCCGCCGGATACGGAGCAAATGCTGCCCTCCACGTGGTAGCCTGGGCTGGTGGAGCTTTCAGACCCCACAGGTGGACGAGTCGAGTCTGCACCGGTCGAGCTCCATCCCTAAACAAGCAGCTGGACTGGAGGGGTTCTGGTTTTGGAGTCGCTTGCGACCTGCAAATGTTTAGCTTTGAGTCGAAGTCTAACCCAAATCATCCAAACCATCCATGTATGGAATAGATGCCCAAATTGACCCCGAATCCACCACCCCAGCCGACCGGCAACAAAAAAAGGCAGTCCCATTAAGGTGAGCGGATCACTTGCGGGCGTCGCCCGCGTAAAGGTCCGGCAGGAAGTTGGATTTGTATGGTGTGTTCCACTGCATTGAGTATCAATGAGCAAAGGTTATGTACACACATTGATTGATATTGATGGTAGAACCTCTCTTCAGAGGCTTGCGGGGTTGAAATATCATCAAGAGTCTGCATTACAGTGACTATTCTCCAGAGTCCAGATTGATCTCGACAAAACGTTCTAGCTGCTAGGCCTCACAGGCGGGTTTCACTCGTGAGCCTCACTAGTTTCACGTGGGTGTCTCGCGAACTTTTCAAACAGGTCAATCTACATTGACCTAGATGTAGGCATATATGGCATACATGGAGTGTCTGGGATAGAGATTGACCAAGAACTAATACCCTATAGGTCCTTACCTCCTCAATGAGCAATGTGACTTGCATGACCAGCTCCAGTAAAATGAGGTCTGCGACTTGTAGGGATAAACGATTCCCGAGGACAGCAGTCTCAATTCATCTGCCCCTGTCAGACCGCAAGGCACGACACTTCTTTGGGCTTCAACGCGCAAGTTGTGCAGTCTTGAACAACGAATAGCCGTGCATTCTCCCTGAAGCAACAAACATTGTAACATGGGCAAACAAAAGCCCTACTATACACTCTGGGTGTAATGCCAAGCTGGAACTCAAAGAAACACGTATGCATGCACATATATACACAGATATGTAACATATATATATATAAATATATCGACACCTGCAGTCACAATACGGGGTGCGATCCATGGAGGTTAGGGGTGCCCAGAACATCCACTCACTGGATGGGACTAAAACCCACTCCGTACTTGTGACTCCTGGTATATGTCATGTCCTTTTGAGGTCAATCTGAAGAACAACCGTTCTTCGATATCTCTCACCCGTCTCACCCCGACAAGTCGGCTTCTGCCTCCGGGGGCACCTTCCCATCAACGAAGCGCACTTCCTCCAAGTGGCTAATACTGGGGTCTTCCTCATCGGTCCACTTCCCTTGAACTCGGTCTAAGAGGTCTTTCTCAAAGCGCTGTTGTGCGGACCTCTGCGCCTCTGCGGGTGCGAGGCTACAAAGGCACGCAGGTCTAAGGAGGCTGGAGCCCACCGGACTGCGAATGGAATGGACCTAAGGTGGCAGAACCTGGTCAAGGAAAACCCCGGATTCGAAGCATCATTGAACGCAAACAGAAGGGATTAAACACGGATGTTTTGGGGTCGATGGATGAATCAGGGACGAATCACAACGGGCTGATGAATACCCCAGGGATCCAAGTACCTTCTCAGAAAGTGATTGGAGACCCTCTTATGTAGGTTTTGAGGGTTCAAGTACCTTCTGAGAAGGTACTTGGATCCCTAGGGATAGAAAATGCATGAACTATACAGTACAGCTTCTTCAAAGTGATCTTTCTGGAGCCCCTGTTTGTGTGAAATCCCCAAACATGAAGTTCGGTAACTTTGAACAGCCATGAAGAGCCAGTTCGCACTGCAAACCCACCCCCAACACCGTACCTGATCCCAACCGGGTAGAAGTTAAAATCAAAACATGGTGTGTCAACAAGCGGACATCAGTGGCCGGTTTGCCTCAACTCAGCTGGTGCGCGGATCCATGGGCCCATCGACACTTCTCGCCTGATTGATGGCTGCCCGGTCACGTTGCTGCGCCTGCCGCTGGGCAGCCCAAATCTGCCGACGGGGGTCGTCGCTAAAGCTGAAGCTTTTGCCTTTGCCTTTCCCTTTGGCTTTGCCCTTGCCTCGGCGGATGCGAGTGGTTTTTGGGATCGGTTTTGAGTTCGGACCACCGGCGTTGGGGGGGGCGGCCGAGTCCAGCCACTCGTGCAGGGGGGCACCCGGTGTGCAGGATCTTTAGGAGCGGTTTTCGGAGTACTTAGATTAGACTTAGATGGCACAAAGCCCTACATGATGCATATGACATGCATTTTCGGTGGAGGTTCCACAAAAACCACCTTTTGCATCCTTTTGCAAATGGTGTCCACTGTCAGACGGGGGGTGGAGTCTCGCATCTCCTTGGCGAAAAAAAACGGGTCGAATGACCTGAGTTCTTTTCCAACTACAAATGATTCCCTAGGGATCCAAGTGCCTTCTCAGAAGGTACTTGGACCCTCCAAACCTACATAGCAGTGTCTCCAATCACCTTCTGACAAGGTACTTGGATACCTAGGGATTGGAGGGAAGGTTGCAAGTTTCATCTTTTAACTATAAGTGTTCAGAGCTCAGAGCTGAAGATGAGGTTAACATTCAGTTCAAGAGAATGAAACATGACCGATAGGGTGACTGTTCACATAGGGTGACTGTTACATTGTTTGACCTTAACACTCACGTGTTTGCACCATCTTCTTCTCCCCATGCAGCATCATCAGTTCACATCCACCTGAACTAATCACCTTTAACTCAACACAACAAACACCAGAACGGAGCTCAAGCAGCACGCCATGTTTTTGGCTACAACCAGTCCACATCTAGCATTCTGTCCAGACCTCATGTAAACCCCCCATCTAAGCAACACCAGAACACAAACTAGGACCTCTTTCTAGACTCTTCTAGACCGACCGACATAAGGACACTGCATGACACCACCAAAGAGTTGTCTAGCACTCCCAAAAAACTTGGATTTGCTGAGGAACGTGGAAAAACATTCCCCATAAGGGGGTTTAACAATTGGGAAAATAGAACATCTCCTTAAGCCTTGAGCAACACCAGCCCTAGGGCTCCAAATACCTTCTGAGAAGATATTTGGGGTGGGTTTAGAGGGGTCCAAATACCTTCTGAGGAGGTACTTGGAGCCCTAGGGCAGGAAATGGAGGCCCCCGCAGTTCTTGTTAATTGTTAATCTGCCGCTTTACATCCCTTTCTTCCTCCATTTCTCCATCTTCACAGTGTCCCCAACATGGATCTTCCAACATCCTTCACCACCGCCCCCCCCCAGCTATCCCCAGCACGGCGCGGCGGGCGGTCGGTCTTCGGGTATGGCCGAGAGTCCTTTGCCGCCCTTGAAGCCATGGCTCGGGTATTGGTATGGGTTGCCCGACCAGCCCTGGCCCATCCCCATCTGGCCCATGCCCATCTGGCCCTGACTGCCTCAGAGCAACAAGCGAGTCGAAGAGTGAAACGCCGCGGGGGCTGCCGTGCTTGCGGGGTGGTGGTTGCGGTGAGTGTGGAAGGGGGGGGGGTCGATTCTAATTTGGTCTTTGTCAATTTGTTTATAAATTGATTTTTGTTGGATAGTGTTTTAGAAGAGGGAGGGAGAGGGAAAAGAAAAAGGGAACGGTTCTGTCGGGCATTACATCGGGTATTACATAGGGTTTCGTACGTTCAACATAAATATAAGAATCAAATGGTGGCCAATAATTAACAACAAATAAGTCATATATAGTCATAAACCCAGACCATCCATGTTTGGTGCTTTCAGGGGGGTCAATAGAGACAGATACACCAGACATGGAGCTTTTGGGAAATAGAAGGAAGTAGATAGTCAACACATATATATGTCATCTGTCTGTTTCTCTGTCTGTCCGTATGCATGTGTATGGATTTGAGATTTGAGGACCTGCCTAACCAGAACTCCTCCATGATTGATCGACCGACCTCCCCAAAACCGACCGTGTAAGGCGTATACGGTGGTCTTTCATCCAACATCTCCTAACCAGCCCTTAGCTAAGCAGTCCTTTCACTCCATAATCCCATATAAAGCCATCTCCCTCTGCCCATCCTTCCCCATCCTTCCCCCCATCCTTCTGCCATCCCCATCTCTGCAATCTGCGCCACCGGGGAAGGGTGTCCCCATGGGCATTGACCCTGGCCCCATCATCGTCGCGGCGTCCCCCGGGCGCATCCCGGTCGCGGCGGTCCCCCAGGCGGTCCAGCTGCCATTCGGGCCGCGTCCGGCGGGTGCACAGGTGACGTTCGACGACGCTGGGAGGAAGGACGGAGGAAGGACGCCAGGTGCAATCCGACGCCAGCTAGCAAACGTGGCATTTCCCGGCTCTGGCCATGGAAGTTCCATCCCCAAAGCACCCTGATTTTAGAAGCGAACAAAAGGGTTCGGGAACGTGCCCAAGGATTCGAGGGGCCCACCATGGCCCACCACATGATTGGAGATGCACTCGACTTGACCGCAGCTTTTCAACGCCGGTGACGGACCTGAACCCGCCGCGCAAACGGCGGTTGTGGCCCACGGCGTGGTTCCAGCCGCGCCAGGTCCACCGGTCATCCGCCCAAACGCAGTCCCCCAAAAACGTCACCAGAGCCAGAGCGTCACCACGTGTGCTAGACTTGTCATACCCAGCCCTAGGGCTCCAGTCGCACCGAAACTTGTTTCGATGCGACTCGGGGCCCGAGTGCCAGGGTCCAGTCAGACCGAAGGAGGTAACCTCCTGGAACCCAAACGGGATAAGCATGTTCCCTCAAACTAGGTGGATCCAAGTCATTGATCGACCAGCACCGGAGCCGACGAAGAGGCGCCTTGATTTATAGGCCCTCCATATTACAGTACATAAAGCGTTTCGATTCCAACGAGGGAGGTATATTCATCGATTGAGCCTACATGGACCGCCCACCATCTGTTTTCGACTGAAGCTGTGAACCATCTTCCGCTCGTTCGCCAGCGTTGTGCTGTGCTGAAGCTTCGTGCTCTCCATGACCCTCGCTTGGTTTTTTGGGGTGGAGAATGACACCTTCCCAAAGACGTTGTCTTGGAAACTGCTTAGGGAAACGGACAAAAAATAAACATATTGGCCAAAGGGGGTGGATTTATATGCCAAAACGGAATATAACAAACTCACCAAAAGCAAAACCTGGTTGTACAAAACTTACACGTTGATCTCTCTGGCATCGCCACGAATGAAACTGTTTTTTTCAAAGACAGCACCCATTGGCACACCAATCTGACCCAACATCCTTCAAACATGGAACGCGAACCAGCATCCTGGCTTCTGCTGCTGCTTTTGGCAGTGAGATTGGAGGCCCTTTTCTTCTGTCTACAGTCCTTTGAGCACGACCACCACCACCACCACTACCACCATATTTGGTCAACAGGTGACATATTGATACATATTCCTGAAGATTCAAACACCTTGAAATTTTTAGGAGTTTTGGTTAATTGGGTGTTTGCGTGGGGAACTAGGTGTTCTAGTTGTTTTGTGCCAAAACTAGGTGTTTTGAAAACATGTGCCCACACATGACCCAAACTTCCCAAATCAATCCCCCACACTGCCTACGATGATGCGCACATCCTGCTATATCCTGCTCACTCTTCTTTGCAGCGAAGAACGCCGGGGAGCCAAGGTTTAGTGCAGCTATGCTGTCTGTATAGAATGGCTAGACGGAAATGGCATGTGTAGCCCCCCCTGGGATCTTCATGGATCTTCTGTACAACCCAAGGGACTGAGCTACCCATCCGATCTTGCTTCCCATCCCATCCAATGAAATTTTCATGACTCCAGCACGAAGCTGCAAACAGTAACAGTGAAACAACTCCAAGCCTCCAGGACATTTTTGTCAAAGCAGGCGCAGCATTGGCAAACCCATAACACATGCAAGTGTTGGCATAGACACACAAGGCATTTGCATTACCCGTTTGGACAACCAAGCGCTGTTGAATTCTAGGAATGCAGGCCTCGTCGTAGAAGGTCTAGAACGCAGACCCCAACCCCCTTTTATGTTTGAAAACCAGACGTCAACCTTTTCTTCTGTATTACATGCGTCCGGACTTTGGCGGAGAGGGATTCAGCAGTTGGAATCTCAAAGATTTGTAAAAACCTTTTGTGAGGGGTTCATAGAGTTGGCGTCTCAGAAAATGTTATATATATATATACGTATATGCTTTCGGAGCTCTCAAGCCGGAGTTCCACCTCGAAGCAGGGGCCAACTGCTGTATTCTCCTTTGGGTCCAAAGATGTTGGGAAATGTCAAAATTCAGCATTGACCAGACAGGTAGTGCTTTTGCGAAGCTGCACAAGACTCCAGGAATGGGTTGCAATTAGGCCTGTCAAGCTTTGCATCAAAGCCATCAGAGCTCTGAAAAGGCCCCTCCCACCCACAACTTTTCCAGCAGCCAAACTGGTCACACTTGCAGCAAAGCCATCATTCCTTGTGTGTGGAAGGAGTGCGCAATAACCCCAATCATTGCCAGGCCAGCAGAACATAGCAGAACTGAGGTAATTGGAGGAAGGGGTCCGCAATCCATTTCTTGCTTCTAAGCTGGGGTTGGCCAACAGCCTGAAATCAAACGTTTATTCCGTTGCGACGTCAGATCCCTGAAGATGCTCCATTTGGCGCTCCAAAGTTGCAATAACCACGGGAAGGTAAAACACAGGAAATTACCTGATTTTATCACTTTTCAGGATTTGCGGGTGTTTGCGGTTTTTTTGCGGGCGTTTAGCGGGTTTTTGCGGGAGTTTTGCGGGTAATTTTGGGTGCGGCAATTCACTGGAAAAGTGTCAAAATTGTACAAACATCAGGTAATTGACCTTTCAGCCTGTTACTTCTGCATACTTCTGCTATGGTGACCCAAACCGCTCAGGCCCAACAGCTCCACCTGACCTGTGACGTCGGAGGCGGCTGGCGAGTGCGTACGCTGAACCAGTGAGTTGTCGCAATTGCGGCCTCTGTGAACAAACAACTTGAGAGAGAGAAAAATAAAAGAAAGGAGCCGTTCTCAAGATCAGCCAGACATATAGTTCCCAACAGCGTGGATCCCACAAGGTCGTAAAGCTGGCAATTCGGCATCCCACTCGCCAAGAGCCAGGAGCCATTTTCACAGGTGGGACAGCTCAAATGCATTTTGTTTCGCATTAGCCAACTCAAACCCAAAGGCTTGTCGTAATGCCTTGCCCCTAACATCCCCTAACATGATTGCAAGAGAAGCAAGAATTACAGACCGAAAACATGACCCTTTCCAGAGCAGGAGACTGCAAGAGACATCAATCCCCTCACTGCGTCAGGACATACTCGAGAACCAACTACCCTCCGCTAGGTTGTGATATAACTCTGAAGGTCGGACAGCTACTCCAGCCTCGACATAGGGAGTATGTCTGGGCTGCACATCGAAGCTGCGTACATCTTTCCCCAGCTCCTTTTTGCCAATGGTTTTCACGAGAAAGCTACAGGTGCAGATGGCAGAGCGACCCAAATTCATCCCCATTGGACTCAGGGACTAGCAAATCATATATGTGCCCTAAGAGCGATGCGGACCACTCACCTAATCACAGTCTTAAGATGGCCCGTCGCTGAAGCCAGGTATGCATGCCGCCTGGTGTGGGGCCATTTGATCTGTCGACTCCGGGCAGCTGCTTGGACTCAAATAGGATCTAGACAGTTTTTGCTACAGGAAACTGCCACTCACTCTGTAATCGTGCACTTAATTGAAGTTTTGCAGTGGTAGCCATCGACATAGTTTTGCATACCATGCGTTTGCCAGTGCAATCCAAGGATTGGACGCGTTCCGGATTGATGGCGCTGATGCTATGAGTTGAAAGATGCCCCACCCAGAACGCCCGCTTGCGCGGGCTCCCATGCCCCCAAAAGCCAAAATATCAGCGAGATACACCCTTTTGATCCATTATGCACCAAAAGTAGGTGTTCTGGTTGTTTCAGTTGAGGCTCCAAAAAAAGTAGTGATATAGGGTCAAGCACGAGAACTCATGAAAATTTTCAGTCGTTGGAAGATTCAGGTTGATACAACTACAACCGATTCTGAGGCAGTTCTGCTGAAGTGTGTTTGAAAGGAGTCAATCGGCATACACTCCACAATGTAGAATCTTGCTGAATCTTCATCAATAAACCCCCCCCTATTTGGATGCACGCACTCGCGGACCGTCGGTAACGGGCGCTCCCACCCTCTCCCTTCCTATTTGGATTGAAAATCCCCTTCATACGGAGTTCTCTTATTCATCAAGAGTCTACATTACATACATCAGAATAGCTGACTGTCGCTCCAGCCTGCTCTAGAGAACAACATGGATCTTCTTCACACCAGAAGAGTCATGTTGGTGACCCTGGTCACTTTGAGGAGCCAGGCACCTGCTTGCTACTTGTGACAGGTGGTGTGAACATCAATAAACCCAGCTATCCCAGAATCGGAACACAAGAAAAAGACTTGCATTCATCATAATTCATCCATCTGTTGCCATGTTGATCAATATGTACGGCACAGGAGAGCACAAGTAAATCTCGAGTCTGTTCAGGCTTTGCCCGAGTCTAGAGTTGTTCGAGACACCCTCCAACAAACATACCGAAACGCTCCATGTACCACAACTATGGCGTATGACTAGATGGTTGACTGGCGGTCTTCATGTTCAATCAAAGAGGGTAGGTCTTCGCATTTAAAAGTGCAGCCTCTGGGCAAATGCCCACGAGTGGGTGTCACCACGAGTGAAGCTGCCTGGTTAAAGAGCCGTAACGTCCTGGGGGCCAGTTCACGGCACGCCTCCGGCTTCCGCCGAGTGGACCATGCATTCAGCTCAGGCCTCTCAAAGTGAGAATGCAAGTAGCGAGTGGCGAGTCAAATCATAACGCTCGCAAACTACATTATCACCCCATGTGTCAAGGACATACACTCGAACAAAAGCTAAAAGCTAAATATAACCCGCGTTGACGTGGGTTTCAAAACGCAAGGCCCCCTTGCAGGTGCATTGCTTTTCGACGTGCTTTTGGGAAAGGGTCATAAATCTCACTCATATGCCCCCCTCAACATTCTTGGCTCAATAATTGTGATTTTATATACTTTTGCCAAACATGGTCTTTGGCAGTTTTTGCATTTGGGCTGGATATTGACTGAAATGGGGGACCCCATCAGCCTCCCATGAATAGGACAAAAACACTGAATGAAGGAGGGTCTCTCAACGAATGCACCTCCCTGTACGCGAT